TATGAGAGCTTGGGCCAATATTTTTCTCCTGTCATCTTGATTAGAGGCAGAGAGGTAGATGCAGGATGTATTAGGATGAGGCTAGAATGTGAAGACCTAGGTATAAATCCAGGATCTACCACTTATTAGAGGAGAGGTGTCAAACACTGCTAGCCACATGGGGCCCATGACACTCCCAAGTATGACCTGAACCAGATTAAAATGTAGTTCCCCTCTGATTTTAATATTTTGATATAATAATAATAATTAAAAAGAAATTTATAAACATATTTGATTTTCTAAGATAATACCTGGCTTACAGTGATCCTTAGGTATGGATTAGTGGTCCCCATTTTTATTTGAGCTTGACATCTCTGTATTAGAGGTTGTCATTGTGGCCAAGTCATTTGACTTCTCTGAGCTTTAATTTTCGTGGGCAGCTAGGTGGCACAGTGGATAGAGTGCTGGGTCTGGAGTCAGGAAAACTTTATCTTTCTAAGTTCAAATCTGGCCTTAGACACTTACTAGTTGTGTGACTCTGGGAAATTCACTTAACCTCATTTGCCTCAATTTCCTCATCTATAAAATGAGCTGGAGAAGGAAACGGCAAATCATTTTAGTATCTTTGCCAAGAACACCCCAAATTAAGTCATAGAGAGTCAGTCAAAACTGAAACAACTGAACAGTTTCCTTATCTGTAAAATAGGGATAACATCACTTAACTCTTTCCTAGTGTTACTGTGAAGAGAGAGCTTTTAAAAAATAAAGATTTATTAATTCCATTTGTTTTTATATTATGGACATTTTCATCCCCACCCTATAGTGATCCTTCCTTTTTAACAAAGAAAAATAATTAAGCAAAACCAACTGACCCAGTGATCATAGAAACCTCCCCCCCCAACCCCAGCCCCAGCCTCCCCTTCCTACCATGGAAAGGAAGAAGTTGAGGGCATTTCTTCATCTCTTTCCTGTTCCCTGGGTCCAGGATGGGATAGAAAAGTTCTTTGTTAAATGGTAAATCACTATGGAAATATGAGCTTTCATTTCTAACCTGCCGACTTTTTCCTCCTTGCCTTCTATCCAAAAGCAGGATACACAATAGAGGGACCATGATGCTCATCATATTTATCCCACTTTGCTTTGTTCCCACAATCATCCCTGTCAGTCTCTGTTATCTTTGCATTCAACCCTGGCTAGAGGAGGAGATTGAACACACAAAAGTGTTTTTCCCCCCTATTCTTCAAGATTTTGGGACCTCATAAATCACACTGACAGGTCACATGATGATGTTTCTTTGCCTTTCCAAAGAGAATGAATGCAGAGAGGCGTGGAGGTTCCTGAGTAGGTTTGTGACTTCCCCGGCACTGCATTGCAGCCTGGTGTGGCCTGCTCCAAAAGGCTCCTTTCTAGCCTCCACCTAACCAGGTGATATGCTCTACCTGAGCAGCCCCATGGTGGAAAAGAAGAGCTGGGCCCCACTATCTCAGAACAGAGTTTCAGTGCCACTGTGGAACCCTGACAGTTAACAATGAGACTGTCAAGATTACCTTTTTGTTCCCTCCTTGAGGCAGGAGCAGCCTCATTTTATCCTGTGGTTTAGCACATGAATCATTGCTTTTGTACGTGATCAATGGTACTTCGTGCGTTTCCAGCAACTGTCTGGGTCTGTCACTGACAACATTCGCTATTGAGCAATACAGTTCCAGACCTGATGGCAGAGGCAGGGAGGGGGAACGATGCAGATTCTTCTGTGTGAGTAGTTTGAAAAACTAGGAGGTTCAAAGGCAGCTGTTGTGTTCAGAGTTTTGTACACTTAGATGCTGTCATTTTTGTTTTTTAAGAGATGCAGGCGGCTTACGTTAAGTTTCAGCTCAAGCTCCCTTCCCAATAGGATTTCTTAGTTTTGGATGGTCTCAGGGAAGGGGTGGTGATGGAGTGGAAAAAAGAAATGGAAAATGTGTATGAGAAGAGGAAGAAGAAGAAGAAGAAGAAGAAGAAGAAGAAGAAGAAGAAGAAGAAGAAGAAGAAGAAGAAGAAGAAGAAGAAGAAGAAGAAGAAGAAGAAGAAGAAGAAGAAGAAGAAGAAAGAAGAAGGAATATCCAGTGCATATTCCCTTTCTCTTCACTCTTGGCTCGTATGTATGGACATCATGTTTTCCATCTTCAAACAATACTTTATTCAAAAGTGGCCAAAACCACCCTGTTTTGCTTCATACCTGCTTTGAGGTCACCCATGAGACACGTTCTCCGCCCAAGACTTTGTGTGCCTCGAACAGGCACAAATGGAAAGAGGATGTGAGTCAATCTGTTATAAACTGTTCATCTGTGAAATCTAGATGATACTCAAAGAAAATCATTGCCAAAGGTCTGGAGACTGTGAGTGTCGAACTTCAGGTGTGCCTCTTTAGGAAAGCTGATAGGTGAAAAGTTGGGGTTTACACCGGATAGTGGAATGATTCTTCATTTGACTGAAAGCCTCCCTATAGGACTCCTTTAGCCAGAAACTCTTCTATGTTTTTGAAATGAGACTGGATCTGAAAAATGTTGATTTGCATATAGGCTTTAAGGAACGCAGCTAGAATTAATTGTAGAATGTTAGCTCTGGAAGAGATCTTCTTGGATCTTCTCATTTTGTTTTACAAACATTTTAAGTGAGGTCCAGAAAGAGGGCATGTGACTCACTTAAGGTAGAACATTTAATTAGTGGTAGAACTGGTTCTACAATGCATACATCCTAATCTGTAATTCAGTACTCAAAAAAAAAAAGAATCATTACATAAGGTTCTGCCTTGCTCCCATTATCCTCTTGATTCAGGGTTGTTGTCTGCTGAGGCAAAGGTCCTTTCTTCCTCTTTCTTCTCTCCATACTCTCATCTCTATCCATATCAGCCTTATCTGTTTGCATTCTATACCTGCCTCTGTTCCACCATTCTATTTGGGCCCTCTGGAACCCCTGCTCCCAGTTAACAAACTGGACCTCAGTCTAGATCTCAAAAATCTGCATCCTTCTGGGTGATCTTGTATCCCTGGTGACCCTCTCCAGAACTAGGTACTTCTTCTCTAACCCTAATTCCCTCCTTCCCAACACCGCCCACCACTTCCCCTCCCCAAGCCGGGAGGAAGAAGAGATGTATGACTTGCTCTTAATTGCCACTTCCAGAATTTCCCTTTGCCACCATCACTGGCAATCTCTCTTGTTCAGAGGTTCACTCAATCTGTCTTTATCACCCAGTCCTGATCCTTGTAGTAGTCTTCTAATGGACTCTGGGTCATTCTCTTTCCTTTATTCCTTTATTCTCCACCTCTATTTCCACCTCTGTCATTCCTTCAACCTCCTCCTCCCCCTATATCCAATCAGTTACCATGTCTTGTGGATTTGATTTCCAAAAAATCTTTTGCATCTGTCCTTTTCTTTGCATCATTCATGCGTCCTCCACCCCGGTTCAGTCCCTTGTCATGTCTTGCCTGTTCAGTAATTTTCTAATTGGCCTCCCTGCCTCAAGTCTCTCTCTTCTCTAATCAACCCTCTATGTAACTGCCAAACAGATATTCCTAACAGGATATCACTCTGTGGCTCAAAAAGCTCTAATTTTTCCCCTTTTATCTATAGGAATGAATAAATGAAAAAGGATGTATTAAGCACTTACTATGAGCCAAGCTAGGGCAACTAGGTGGTGCAGTGGGTAGAGCACCAGGCTTGGAATTAGGAAGTCTCATGTTCTTGAGTTCAAATCTGGCCTTAGACACTTATTAGCTGTGTGACTCTGGGCAAGTTCCTTAACCCTATTTTCCTTAGTTCCTCATCTACAAAAATGAGCCGGAGAAGGAAATGGCAAATCACTCTGGAATCTCTGCCAAGAAAACCTCAAATGGGGTCTCAAAAAGTCAGAAATAACTGAAAAATGACTGAACAAATGTGCCAAGCATGGGGAACAGAAAAAAAAAACCTATATATATCCTTCTTTTATGGAACTCACATGGATAATTGGGAGAGACAACATATAGAAGAAAGGTCAGCTTCTGGGTAGATGAAAAGGCCATTGCTCCTAAGGATGCAGTGGTGGTATAGATGGCAAAGCCCAGAGGTCCTTAGGTTACTTAAGTAGTTAAGATGATGGTGTTAGAAGAACGGCAGGCATAAAGGCAGGACAGATGGCAAGGCCTGTTGGGTCTTCATTTCATCAGAACAAATGGAATTATTGACTTTTTTCTCATTCAGACACTGAGCAGTCAAGCCAGGCAAGGGAGATGGCGAAGGGGTAGGAGAATACGAGCTCCTCCGTAGCCTTCAGACTACCTTTTCAGGTGGATAACATATTATGTCCCTTCAAACACTGCTTTCCAGCCATGCTGGCTGGCTTGCTGACCTTCATACCTGACATTGTCTCTGTACCTCTTCATAGAAACTGTAGCTTTCTTCAGGATTCAACTCAAATGCCACCTCCTGCATGAAGCCTCTCCTGATCTACCCAGCTATTGGTCCCTTTCTCTCTCATATTCACTTTGCATGCATTCTGTACACATTGTGTGTATGTACACAAGTTGTTTGCCACAGTAGAATGTAGGGTAGGTAGTATTTACCTTTTGTCTTTTTGTCCCCAACGTCTTAGAGTGTACCTGGCACATAGTCAAATGCTTAATAATTACTTGATTGATACTGGAGAACTTCAATATACATTCTATATATCCTATTCTCATGAAGCCTGCCTTAGAGAAGCAATGAGGTTAATGGAAAGAATCTTCCTGACTCCAAGTCAGGAAGACTTAGGCTCCAATCTTGCTTCTGACACAAAATGGATGACAACAGGTACCTCATCTTTCTGAACTTCAGTTTCAACATCTGTAATGGGGATAATAGTTATCGCTAGTAGCTATCATACTAGGCTATTGTGAGAACCAAAAGAAATGATGCTGATAAATGTGTGTCCTTCAGAAATGTTTAGACACCATATAAATGCCGAGTATTTTATTTCTGTGTAAATCTTATATAGATATTAATGTTTTGTTTGTTTGTAATTACAGCTATCCATCTTGATAAAGTCAATCTTCAATTATATTGTGTCTGGTCTCTTCTGGATAATTTTGAGTGGAGCGCTGGATATAGTAGTAGATTTGGCCTCTACCACGTTGATTTTGAAAATCCAGCTCTACCTCGTGTTCCTTACAAATCAGCGATGGAGTATGCCAAGGTCATCCAGAATAATGGAATCAAAAGACCCCTGTAGAAACAGTGACCTGAGAAAACTCAAGTTTGGAGAAAAGTCCTTCATGCCTACATAAGAATACTCTTGACAATCCCTATGGAGCAGAATTTATAATCAAATCACACTACTGACTAGCTGCATGTTAAAGCAAATTCAAGATTATGGATGTCTATAAGAATGAAGGGAGTTTCTTTACTGGAAGTTCCATATACTAATGTAATCAAAGGTCTAATCTAAAAAATTTTGAATGATGACTTTGAATGACATCTTTAATTTCTTGTTAATTCTTATTCTTTCTCTCCAACAGGATATGAGGCGTTGGCTTTTTCTTTAATTGTTTGAGATATTACAGAATTTTATGTATGGAAGAGACCTTAGAGAACATTTAATTTTACCCCCTCATTTTACTCACTTAATCCTACCCCTTCTTTCTTCCTCCTATTATACAAGATATTACAGGATTTTACATGTAGGAGGGATTTTAATATTCAAACCCATATCCTCCTTTACTGAAGAAAATGAGAACCAGAGAGATGAAGAAATTTTTTCAAGGTCACAGAGCAATGGTCCTAGGGCTTAAACCCTAGCCTCTTGACTCCACTATATCAATCATTTCCAACCTGTGGTCATGGAGTGTAAAAAAAAAAAGTCTGTGAATCCACATGCAATTCCATGAATTAAAAAAAAATGGCCTCTGTAAATAAATTATATACATACATATCTCACTATTTTTCCAATGTAAGGAGATGCTATTGTGATTTATATAAAGCTCTACTGGATTTATACTACTCTTTTGTTATCATTTGTTTTCTCAGTCAATGGATAGCCTCATATATGGATCTGGATATGAGATGTGTAAAAGGAGTCAGCATCTTCGAATGTGTTGGGAACCATTATCCCATCCTAAGAAAGCAAAGAGCTGTTTCGTTTTTTGAAAGAACAGAATGGAAAAGGACTCATCAATTTTGGAATAAACAAATTTCCAGAATATAAAAGCCTAAACTAAAATCGTTTCTCAATTACAAAGGGAAAAAATTACAGAAATGGTACATTATAGATATAGATACATAAAGTGTGACTGTTCACAAACCAGCTGAAGCCTACCTATGAAAAGTGGGTATTAGCTTATTTCTTCTTCACCTAGTGTCTCTTTACTGACTCTCTGGCTATAGGAGTCATTCTGAAAGGACCTGACTATTTTTGTTCTTGATCTTGATGGCATTTAAATAAAAGCTGTGAGTAAGTCCCATTATCATTACACATAGATATCTTAGTTATGGGACAACTCTGTTAAAAAATTTGAGAGCTTTCCTACATATTTTGTTGATGTTCGAAAAAAAAGATAGGCCTTTCTGTAGCTAACCAAATTTTGAGGAAATTCAATCTCTCTCTTTCTCCCTTTTTCTCTCCCTCTCAAAAAATTCATAAGACCAAAGGAAATTAATTACATAACATACGACTAACATCAACAGAACTGTTATCTAGTGTCATAATAGAGCTGTTGGTGTTCTGTCAATTATGGCATACTCAGATGGGTGGATTCCTTGTACCATGATCTGATTTAGCCCAGTGCTCCTCCTGGGACTATTTGGAAGCTGGACTACCATTTTGTAGTGAACATCTCGTAGATATATGTAACTCCAACCCTGGTGCAGACTGGCCCCTCTTCTTGGATATTCTTGGGTCCTTTCAAGGGTGGTTTATGGTTAGACAATTGCTGCTTGTCCCTGGACGCTTCAAGAGCTGACCTACCCCTCTAACTAGATCTTCTCCTGGTCTTAAGAAAAGCATCTCTCCAGCAGACCCTGTGCCCATCCGCTCCTTATCCTAGAACAGATTTGCCAGGGACCCAGAATTTCCCTTCCCTGGGTAGATACTGAAAGTAAGAGGGTACATATCTTTTTGGGTTGCCATACAGAGACATAATTCTCAATGGTCCTACCCTAGTTATAACAGCAACAATAAGCATTTATTAAGTGCTTTTTGGAAGTTGGGTACTGTGTTAAAGACTGGTTCTAAAAAGAAACGTAAAAATTGTCCCTACCCTGAAAGAAAGCATATGACCATGCAGTAGACAGTTTTTATAGTTTTCAGAGAGGGAAGCAAAATCAGTTGACATGACACTTGCCTTTGTAAAGCTTCCATTGTAAGATAGATGGAAAAGTGGTGGAAAGAGCTAGCAAGCACATTTATTAAAGATTATTAAATCCAGTCCCCTTCATTTTACAGAAAAAGAAGTTGCGGCACAGAAGTTTGCAGTGACTTACAAAAGCTTATGCGGCTGTGTTAAATCTTGTCTGTTCCCCTGCTTGTAATACTTCTCTCTAGATTGTCTTTCTACCTTTCACTGTGATTCATTAAAAAAAAGAAACAAAAACTAAACACCTCTTTGAGCATTTTCTTCTAATCATACAAATACTGTAAAAACCCTTGGACTCGAGTCAAAAACCTTGGCTTTAAGGACTGTTGCCAAAACATGCTAATGGTGTGGATATAGGCAAGCCATTTTCCCTCCTAGGCTCAGTTTCTTCATCTATAAAAGGGGAATTATAATACTTCCTACTTCACAGGGCTGATGTAAGAAAAGTGCTTTGTAAAGCCTAAAGATGTAGAAATACAATACTTACTCTTTACCATGTTTTATCTTCACAATTAGATTATAAACTCTTTGAGAGAAGACACATTGTTTTATACTGTATTTTTCTAGTTTAAGGCTTGGTCTTTGAGAAAGAAATCTAGTCAGTAAACCCCAAGTTAGCTAGATAGTTTTTGGCCATCAGAATTTACCTTCGTTGGGGCAGAACACCCTCAGGTAGGAGGAGAGGGGGAGGGCAGGGAAAGGGAATCACTCTGGCTTTCATGGATTGGTCAACAATAGATCCTTGCCCAAGTACCACTTAATGGCTGCTTTTTGGGCCCTCCTGGCTCAGAGTGAATGTAAATTGTAACTGTTTCTCTTTTGGTCAGCAACCCTGATGGTTTTTCCCCTCCCAGTTTGATTTTTTTCTAATTATTAAAGGGACCATCTCTTGACTCACTTCTTAAAGATGCCTATTCCCTGAACGGGCATTAGCTCACTCAAAGTGAAAACTTGAAAAGACCTTAGCTTAAAAAGGCCAAGGTGTCCCCCTGCATTCTGGGCCACTTCCATTCATCCTGATTGATATCTGGCCACTGAACAAAGATGGCTTTGGGTGAGAAAGTGAGGCTGGTGACTGCACAGCCCTCCCTCACTCAAATCAAAGTCAATTGCAAATCATGTCATCATCTCCCTAATGTCATGGTCCTCTTCAAAAAGGAAGGATGAACCACAATTTTTATAGTATGTCTCACATTATCTAGGAAAATGCATATAGTAAGTGTGATACAAATGCTTGCTATGTATATGTACTAGGAGAAAGTTGCTTAGAGCTCTCTGCAGCTAAGGGAATTCAATTTAATTCAGTTCAATAAACATATGTCAAATTCCTACTATGTGCAAGGCACTAATCTACACTTTGGGTATATAGTAAGAAAAATGAAATATTTCATGCCCTCAAGGTACTTACTTTTTTTCTGGGAAGAACACAGTAAGTATGCAAATAAATATCATAAAATATAGAATGCTGGAAGGGAACCCCCCAACCTAACCCCACCACATCACACACACACCAACACACACAGAAAGAGAGAGAGAGAGGAAATATGAGAAAAGAGAGAATAATTTCAGCTGAGGAGATCAGAGGAGGGTTCATTAGGAAAGAATATTCACGTCAGCCTCATGACTCTTAGCCTGTCCCTTTCATTTTGGCACATCCTCCTTATTTCCAGCCCTTGGGAGGCTCCAGAACTTAGTAACAAGGTGGGAGGCATGACACTCCATCCCCTAAAGAGCCAAACCCTTGGGAAATATCCATTTGTTCAAGGGAACCCACACCATGATCCCCTTCTAGTCACCTTCACTTCATTACTTCTCTGACCCGAAGGCCATAGAATGAGTTCCTTTGAAAGCGTTTAGTCAGTTGGTAAATCCAGGTCTGATAAGCTCAGTGGCTGCCTGTATGCCCATTTCATTCCCATGACCAGTGGGCTTAGGGACAACTGTGCAGCTGTGGACATTCTTGTCGGGAGTGGAATGATGGTCCTTGCTGGTCTGTCATGCCACCTTTCTGCCTTTTCTGTTGGTTTCCGAGTTGCTTTCATGTTTGCACTTGGGTAACACCAACAATGAAAACACCCTAGTGACTTTGGACAAAGGGAAAGAGAAATGACTATAGTGGAGTCATTGGGGAAAATTATATTAAGATAACAATAGCATCCATAGGAAATTCCATTACATCTTTGCCAATGGTTGTTTATTTTTATTGTTCAATGAGACATTATCTTACAATTTGTGTTCATTCAAAAGCCCAGTTCAAAATCTTATTTCATTCCTTTCCTATCCAGCAGTCTTTTTCATTTTCACAATGTATCTTATTTACAATTTATGTGCCCTCATATTATTGTGCAAGACAACTCAGTTTTCCTTTTAATTAGGATGTTGTTTTGAATATTATTTATCCTACAGGGCATATTTACACGTTTTTACAACAATACAAATGAGCTTTGCATTTTCTCCACCAAAAAAAAAAGAAAGAAAATTAATATTCACACTGTAAATAAAATGCCCTGTCACATTTGGTCTACCAGGTGAAATAAACATCCTGGATGCTGGCACACAGACTTCCTCAACATGCATTGACCATCTGCAGCTCTCTGTTGGACTTTAAAGGCCAACTCTCCCTTCCAAAGATTGATCAGACAAAGGGCGACTCACTAATTAGTACTCTAAATTGGTATTGCCATGAGGTTAAAGTAAGGGAGGTGGGGGAGGGCAGACTTAACAGCTCCTGAAGTATTTCAATTAATGTTACTTTTAATTGCTCATATTAGCACTTGAGAGCAAGATTGATTGGCTTTTGACTGTCAGGAAAACTGAACCTGAAGTTTTTTTTTTATATATGGAAATGGAAATTGTTAATTATTCTTTAAAATCAAAGATC